CCAACCAGCTGAAGCCCATATATAAGGGTATACCCTAATTCATACAAATAGAAATACTCACAGAACAATATAACAGGTGCAGTGAAACACAGATCCAATGCATTCAAGGGATTTGCTCATCTGCAATTCTCGCGATATTACCAAAAAAAAAAAATCGACAGTGCACTGGAACACAAATCCAATGCATTCCCAAATAATCCGGCAGAGACATTCTCAAGAAAACCCTAAACCATTAACCGAGTCTTGCAAAAAGAATAGAAAGACAATCGAATCGATGTTCGCAAGGAGAAGATCGAGCCATAAAACCCAGAAAGCATGGCAACACATAGATCTCACCAGAGGAACGAGAGAGAATCGATGTTTACAAGGGAGAAGATCGGGCATGGAGAGGACGAGGGAGAGCGCGAGAGAGATCACCCAAGAGCACGGGAAGAATTCGAGCCCTAAACACCAGTAGAAAGCATAGCAACACATAGATCTCACCAGAGGAACGAGAGAGAATCGATGTTTACAAGGGAGAAGATCGGGCATGGAGAGGACGAGGGAGAGCGCGAGAGAGATCACCCAAGAGCACGGGAAGAATTCGAGCCCTAAACACCAGTCGCGAACACCGAACGCAGGGGAAACCCCGCGATCGACTCTTAGCACAAAAAAAAAATGCGCGTCGCGACGTTTATGAAACGTCCGCTAAATGCTTTATCCAAACAACATAACGGCTTTCTCAAAACGCCGCCGCACCTAAATAACAAAAAGATGTCATACTACTAAAAAATCTAAAAGTTCAATTCAAAATACTCTAATACATAAAGAGATGATAAGTTATTTGAAGCAAATGACTATAATAATAAGGATAACCATGACAATCAACAAGCCTAGAATGATGTTTTTGGTCAAGTTTTCGTGACAATCTCCTCTCCATCCGCGTATCTCTCCTGCAATGATCACGGTCTAGAGGGACCTCGTCAGTGTCATCAACCAAATTGAAAAAGTCTCAATCACAACATCTACTCTACCTCAACATATCTCAACATAGATATATATATGAGCACTGTTTTACAGTTTCTCTGAGAAATTTTGATGGTCGATTTGTTTGCCCTTGCCTCTACTTAGTGTAAAATAACATTTTGAGATGAGAATGTTGAGCACTGCTTCAATTTTTTAAATTTTTCTGGGACTTTTATGAATGAAATTGCATTTGTTTTGGTGCAAAGTTGAAGTTTACAAAATAGATAAGTTAGCAACCTTACTGTAAAATTACAAATTCGGAGGTGCTCTTGCAACCTTAGTGCATAATTGAACACGCCTAACTATTGAATCATTACAATTCTCCTCTGTTCTTTTGGTTTTCTCACAAAAATTTCATTAGGATAAGCATATCTTATAAGATATTTATATGTAGAATGTTGCATGAGCTTGATAACAAGTTGATATAGAATAATCAGAGTATCAATTTAAATAACAGACTAATTCTTCATTTAATTTTGGGGTTTTAAAATTGAGTTTATGGTCCAGGTTATGGTCTAATATGAAATTGAGTGAATCTGAAATTGCTTGGCTCGAATCTGGCCCGAAAATTAAATATGTCTGAAAGTCCACTCCGAACATGACTCGTCTTCAACCTGTTGACCTGACCCGTATAAGCCATTTAAAATGAAGCATAGGAGTAATTAATGCTCAATTCAGGCCAAACTCGGGTTGACTTTGAGCCATTTTTTGTTCGATTGGTCAACCCAAACTCGACCCGAAAGATTAAATGGGTTAGAATTCGTAACCTAAAACTAAACTGAAAAATATTTGGGTCAACCTGAATTTAAATTTTTTGATTCGAGTTCAAGGCAGGTTGGTGTGTTGGGTCAACTTTTGACCCCCTTAATTTAATTAACTTCATTTACTAGTTAGGTCTATTGTACCATCTCCATTCGTTTGGGCATTCTTGTGTTAGTTGTTACATTCCGTCAACCTTCTTTGTTAACATCTTCTTTATGTCCAGCAAAAACGGCGAGGCTGAAGCAGGCGAAAGAAGAGGCGGAGAAAGAGGCTGCTGAGTTTCGTGCCCAGCTGGAGGCTGAATTTCAGAAGAAACTCGCAGAGGTAAGGTTTAATTGTGCTTTGATAATTTTCATATCATGTAATTACTGGCTGCTAAAAAGGCTATAGTTGGTTAAGTAGATTCTGAATTTAAAAACTGATGTCGATTGAAGTCTGCAGTCCTACTGGACCTTCAGGATAATTGTCTTTCTTGTGATGTAAAATCTATTTTCTTATATCTCAGTAAGTCATGATTTCGGCCTTTAAACTATCCACCCAAATATTTTCATTACATAAAAAAGATGACTATATTAACTTCTTCAAAGTGCAATACATTTTTTCATGCATATGGTTTGGTATGATTAAGACACTGAAGTGCTGCATTACTATATTTCACAATTTATACAATAGATATATAATTGCATACGACTTATACGGTATGTATGTAAATCCTCCTTATTTATTTGGTGTTTGACCATGTGAACCTAAGCTTCTTTTTAGGCTGCCTTTTTGCTTATAGCAAGGCATTTGAAACCCATTTTCTTGGATCAACCACACAGGATCTTTTGTAGTCACTGTCCAATCTTCTGTAATCCTACATCCATAAAATTAAAATTACGAACACGAAGAACCACAATATCTTGATCGAGAGTTTTCTCAGTTATTTTTCTGGGTACGATTGTCGAGAAACCCCTAAAATAAAAATAAATCCTATCAAAAGCCCATGTGTTTATTTTTGTTCAAACCAAGGAAGATTTACATACATACCGCATAATTCATATGCATTTACATTTCTAAAGCCTAAACTTCGATTTTCACATGCATGCCATTCTACCCATGCATGAAAAAGGAGTATTTAACTTTTTATAAAAGCTTTGGGTGATATAAATGTAAAAAGTAAAATTTAGTGGTTGTGAATCCATAAGAACTGGGGGGTGTTTATTTAAATGCCCACATTGGATGCGACATGCAATTAACACCAGAAACATTGAATAAAAATTCTGGAAGACGGTCATAATTATTTGTAATATTATAGAATTCCAGAAATTTCACATGTTGGGTTTTCTTGATTGTTGAAAACAGAGCAGTGGTGATAGTGGGGCAAACGTGAAGCGGCTGGAAGCGGAGACTGAGGCCAAAATCCAACGCCTCAACAACGAATCTGAAAGGATTTCTGCTGATGTCGTCCAAATGCTTCTCAGGCATGTCACCAAGGTCAAGAATTAGCTAAAAATAGTAAGTACTGGACTCTCTTCTGCCTTGTGCTTGTTTTTTTTTCTGGATTTTAGCTGCTTTGTTGTTCTTGTTTCTGACTTAAAATGGCTTATGTATTGTTGTATTATGTGTGCATTGTTGTATTATGTATGTAAGTTGTTGGGGCACTATGACAATTAGGAGTAAATGGTGGCATAACCTATTAGATATTTTAAATGGAAGCTATTAATAATTCCGGAGTTTTCA